CAAAATATGACATTGTGGGTGAACCTGGAGGACATTACACTATACGAAATAAGCCAGTCACAGAAGAACAAACTCTGTATGATTCCAGTTATGTAATGTACCTGAAACAGCCAAACTCATAGAAGCAGAGAGTAGAACGGTAGTTGTCAGGGGCTGGGTAGAGGGGGAAATGGGAACTTGCTATTCAATGGATATAAAGTTGCAGTTATGTAAGATGAGGCCGGGTGCAGTGGCTCATGCCTGTCATCCCAGCACTTTGGGTGGCTGAAGTGGGTGGATCACAAGGTCAAGAGATCGAGACCATCCTGGCCAAAATGGTGAAACCCTGTTTCTACTAAAAATACAAAAAAATTAGCTGGGCGTGTGCGTGCCTGTAATCCCAGCTACTCGAGAGGCTGAGTCAGAAGAATCATTTGAATCTGGGAGGCAGAGGTGAGCTGAGATTGTGCCACTACACTCTAGGCTGGCAACAGAGTGAGACTCCGTCACAAAAAAAAAAAAAAGAATACTGTCTAGAGATCTACTGTACAACATCAAGCCTATAGTTAATGATACTTTATTGTACACTTAAAAATTTTTTAAAGGGTAGGTCCCATGTTAAATGTCTCACTATAATAAAAAACCAATTGTATTTGTGAACAGTAGCAATCGACAATGTTAAAATTAATAAAACAATTCCATTTAAAATAGCATCAAGAAGAATAAAATATGTAGGAATAAATTTAACAAAAGAAGTCCAAAATAAATACTCTGAAAACTATGCAACATGTTGAAGGAAATTAAGACCTAAATAAATTGAAATATATTCCCATGTTCATGGATCAGAAGACTTAACATTGTTAAGATGGCAATGTTCCAAAAACTGATCTACAGACTAAACACAATCTCTGTCAATATACCAGCTGGGATTTTTGCAGAAATTGACAAGCTGATCCTAACAGTCATATTAAAAAAGAAGACTGAAGTTGGAGAACCTGTACTTCCTGATTTCAAAATTTACTCTAACGCTATCAAAAGTACAAAACTATCAAAACTGTGTCATATTGGTATAGGACAGACATGTAGATTGATGGAATAGAATTGGGAGTTCAAAAATAAACCATTATATTTTGGTCAATTAATTTTCAACAAGGATGTTAAGAGACTTAAATGAGGGAAAAATATCACCTTTTCAACAAATGGTGCTGGAACAGTGACATTCACGTGCAAAAGAATGAAGTTGAACTCTCTACTTTATACTACATACAAAAATTAACACCATTATGCAAAAAAGAGTTAAGGTAGTAGGCCAGAACTGCTACTGTTGGAAGGCTTGCTTACAAGGTTGGCCCTTGGCTTGCATTTAGAAACTTGGATTTTGGGAGAGTTCTCACTATTCCCAGAATTAGTAACAGTGGCTTACCATGCCTAAACTGTACAAACACTATGGTTTATGCTGAACGTCTGCTTTCTTTCTGGGAGTCTAGAGTTTTGGTACATGCCAGACAGAGGCTGTTTATGTGACCAGCCCTCAATAAGAACAATGGGTGCTGAGTCTTTGATGAGCTTCCCTGGTTGGCAATATTTCAAACATCTTGTCACAACTCATTGAAGTGTGACTCCACTGAAAGAGTACTCTCGAAGCTTGTATCTGTTTCCCCTAGACTTTGACCAATGCATCTTAAACAAAATTTATAATGATGTATATGAGACATTTTAAAACAGGCATAGAATGCATAATAATCACATCAGGGTACATGGGGTATCCATCATCTCAAGCATTTATCATTTCTTTTTGTTATAAACAACCCAATTATATTTTCTGTTATTTTAAAATGTACAATAAATTATTGTTGACTCTAGTTACACTGTGCCCAATGCATCTTGTGTCCTTTTGCTGTTATAAACTGTAGCAGTTGAGTATGACTACATGCTGAGTCTTATGAGTCCTCCTAGTGAATCATTAAATTTGAAAGTGATCTTGGGAACCCCTCCAAACATAATTATAGACCTAAATATGACAGCTAACTATATAAAACCCTTAGAACAAAAAATAGGAATAAATCTTTGTGACTTTGGGTTAGGCAAATCCTTCTTAGACATGATTCCCAAAACATCATGGGTAACAACAGAAAAAATAGACAAACTGGACCTTGTCAAAATTTAAAACTTCTGTTGTTCAAAGAATGCCATTAAGAGAGTGAAAAGATAACCCACAGGATGGGAGAAAATATTTGCAAATTATATATCTTAAAAGGGACTTGTATCCAGAATCTATAAAGAATCCTTGCAACTCAACAATAAAAAGACAAAAAAAAAATAATAAAATAGGCACCAATATTAATTGATATTTCTCTAAAGAAGATAAACAAATGGCCACTGGGTAGAAGAAAAGACACTCATTATTATCTACTAGGGAAATGCAAATGAAAACCACAATGAGATACCAGTTCACACCCACCAGGATGGCTATAATAAAAAAGATAGACAATTCTAAGGGTTGGCAAAGATGTGAAGAAATTGGAACTCTCATACATTACTGGTGGAAATGTAAAATGGTGCAGCCCCTTTGGAAATGTCTGGGAGTTCTTCAGAATGAGAAACATAGTTACCATATTACCCAGCACTTCCACTCATAGATATATATCCAAGAGAAGTGAAAACATTTTTTCCGTACAAAAACTTGTACATGAAGGTTCATTGTAGAATTATTCATAGTAGCCAAAAAGTGGAAACAATCTAAGTGTTCATCAACTGATGAATGGATAAAAAATATGGTACATTAATTTCATAGGATATTATTCAGCAATGAAAAAATAAACTTTTGATACATGCTAAAACATAATGAACTTTGAAAAAATTATACTAAGTAAAGGATAAAATACATTGGGCAAAGTGGTTAATAGTTTAAATTCAGAAATAAATATAAGATAGAAGATAATAGAAATATTTTCTGAGAAAAGGACTTCTCACATCTTAATTAGGGCCAAACGCCTAAATCACCAACCAATGCAATGTAAAAGAGAAAGGAGCCCCTAAATATTTCTATTGGCAAGTGACTATCACACTGATCTGTTGAGTAGATGAACTGCCATTTAATTCATCTTCATTGTCTTGTTTATACCACCAAGATCCTAGGCTGTTGATTGTGAGGTCAAACCAGAAAGGGTATAGATCTGATAAAGTACAATTCAGACTGTTTTCCAAAGCCAAATATCAATCATTTTGAGTTTTTAAATTTTCTTCTATACCCTTGTCCTATGTTAATGTGGATATGACAGAGTTGGAGAAGTCTTAGTTCATTACAGGGTATTTGATTATGGTTAACCAAAATACTAATATTGTTTCCAATAGTTTCTATTTTTTGTTTGGTTATTGTCTAGCCTAAATCTCTTCAGCTTGAGAGATCCAAACTCATAGGCCATTATGAGTCTTTGATTTAAACTAAATAAATTCAATTAGAGGCCAGTCTTCCTAAACTGTAAGCTTTATGAGGGCAAGGACCACGTCTGTTTTGTTCATAGTGCCTGGCACAAAACTGACACTCAATTTTTGCTAAATGAATTTATAATCAGAAGAATAGCTAACCCAGTGGTTTTCCAACTTAAAAATGCATCAGAATCATATAAATAAAACAGATTGCTGGGCCTTATCCCCAGTCTTTCTGACTCAGTAAGCTTAGGGTGGGACCAAGAATTTGCATTTTGAATAAGTTTCCAGTTGATGCTGTATAATACCTGGTGCACAGTAGGTATGTAATGAATTGTATTAGCTGAAAGAATAAATGAATAAACATATACTTAACCAATACTCAGTAAATTGAATTTTGTTTTCTGAAGTGGAAAAGAGGCTGGAGTTGAACTCCCTTCTCTAACTTATTGGGAAATAAATGAAAAGATTCACTTCCATATATGAAATTGCTTTATACTTATTTAAATTCTTGATTAATTTTTTTTAGTCAACCAGTATATATCATGATTTATACAAGAGCTTATTCAAAGCACATGTGAATGGCATATATGAGAAGATAACAGCAGTTAACAGAAAAGACGGTGACATCAAATCTATACCCAGGGCATGACCACCATTGGACTATGAGAAAAAATTGAGAAATAAAAACTTAAAAGACGTGAGGCAAGGCAACAATTACTTGTATTTTTAAAAGTTATTAGTAGAGTACAAATACAGACTATTTCAGTAAGTAGTCAGCACATTGTCATTAAAAAGCTGATGAAACAGCTTTACTCTAGAAGCCATGGTGAAGGAAAAAGAAATAAAAATACCTTAAAAATGTTTTTTCCCCATAATCTGAAAAGAGGGCATTCTTGAGTGATAGGGAAAAAATGGCTCAGAACAATACAAAATACCAGACAGGAAGGTGAGTATGAAAGTTAATATTTAGAAAGAAGAAAGTAATGCAAATTTAGGGCTCTCAATCCTCTAAATTACAGTCCTAGTGATTTTGGCTCCCTTGAAAACCTATAGGTAGTGAATGTGTAGAAAAAACATAAATGATGTAGCTGGGTAGGTCAAGTCTCAACATTATATTAATCTAGCTTGGAACATGCACTTCAAGTTGTAAATATATAATGAACTTATAAGTAATATTGGGTGACTATCAACAATTACAAAATGTTTATCCAATAACTCTCAACGAAATCAAAGATTATTTACTAATAATACCAGTATAATTAACTATTCAGTACTGAATGTAGTTCTTTCACCTTTCAAATAGGAAAATGTTCATATTATTCAAATTATTTGAGAAAGCTGTAAAGTGAACCCAAGACTCTTTCTTATTCTATTGCAGTACTTATTCTTTTTTTGTGTGCCAATTTTAAATAGCTTTATTTAAGACATTGTATTTTCCACTTACAATACAGTGTTTATAAAGTGCAATGTTATTTCCTTCCCATGTGCATATGTTCCATATTCAAGTATTGAGAATGCCCAGTAACTTACTATAGCAGCTGAACTTTTTAAAACTGCCAGAGAATTTGCTATAAATTTAGGTCCTTCAGTGTTTTACATGTGTGGAACACATGCTACTTGGGTTGGCTTAATCAACCTCTTCAATGGTGGGCCCCGAGGAAGCACCACCAGAGGGAGGAGCTCCACCACCAGGGAATCCCCCAGGCATTCCTCCTGGCATGCCTCCTGCACTCTGGTACAGCTTGGTGATGATGGGGTTGCAGACTTCCTCCAGCTCTTTCTGCTGATGTTCAGATTCTTCCTTCTCAGCAGTCTGATTCTTATTGAGCCAGCTGATAATTTCATTACACTTGTCCAGAATCTTCCGTTTGTCCTCATCGTTAATCTTGCATTGAAGTTTCTCATCTTTGACAGTTGCTTTCATGTTGAATGCACAGGACTCAAGTTAACTCTTAGATGATACTTTGTCCCTCTGCTTCTCATCTTCAGCTTTGTGCTTCTCAGCTTCCTGGACCATACGTTCAATGTCTTCCTTGCTCAAACGGCTCTTGTCATTAGTGATAGTAATCTTGTTCTCGTCTCCTGTACTCTTGTCTACAGCAGACACATTGAGGATGCCATTGGCATCAATGTCAAAAGTGACTTCAATCTGAGGAACACATTGGGGTGCAGGAGGTATGCCAGGCAGGTTGTTATCCTTGTTCATGGCACACTCACCTTCATAAACCTGAATAAGCACACTAGGCTGGTTGTCAGAATAGGTAGTGAAGGTCTGTGTCTACTTGGCAGGAATGGTAGTATTACACTTGAGGAGGACAGTCCTTACTCCACCAGCAGTTTCAATACCAAGGGAAAGAGGAGAAAAGCAGCAAATCTTGAACATTTTCAGACTTGTCTCCAGACAGGATGGTGGCCTGGACAGCTGCACCATAAGCAAAAGGGTTGATGCTCTTATTCAGTTCTTTTCCACTGAAGAAGTCTTGGAGAAGCTTCTGAATCTTGGGGATGCGAGTAGAACCACCAACCAGGACAGTATCATGAATCTGTGACTTGTCTAGTTTGGCATCTTGAAGGGCCTTCTCTATGGAGTCCAGGGTGCCATGGAACAGGTGAGCATTCAATTCTTCAAATTGGGTATGGGTAATGGAGGTACAGAAGTTGATTCCTTCATAGAGAGAATCGATCACAATACTGGCCTGGGTGCTGGAAGAGAAAGTACACTGAGCACACTCACAAGCAGTAGGGAGGTGTCTTACTGCTCTCTTGTTCTCACTTATGTCCGTCTTATGCTTGTGCTTGAACTCAGCAATAAAATGGTTGATCATTTGGTGATCAAAATCTTCTCCACCCAAGTAGGTGTCTCTGGCTGTAGACTTGACCTCAAAGATTCCATCCCCAATAGTGAGGACTGACACATCAAAAGTGCCACCTCCCAGGTCAAAGATTAGCACGTTTCTTTCAGCTCCAACCTTTTTGTCTAAGCTGTAGGTAATAGTAGCAGCATTTGGCTCATTGATAATTCTAAGTACATTGAGCAATAATAGTTCCAGCATCTTTGCTAGCCTGATACTGAGATTCATTAAAATAAGCTGGCACTGTGACCACAGCATTGGTAACAGTCTTCCAAGGTAGGCTTCTGCAATTTCCTTCATCTTTGTCAGAACCATAGAGGATACCTCCTCTGGATAGAAGATTTTGGTCTCTCCATTGTATTCTACTTGGACCTTGGGCCTGCCAGCATCATTTACCACCATGAAGGGCCAATGCTTCATATCAGACTGGACAACATCATCATCAAATCTGTGTCCAATCAGATGTTTGGCATCAAAAACCGTGTTGGTGGGGTTCATTGCAACTTGATCCTTTGTGGCAACACCGATCGATAGTTCAGTGTCTGTAAAGGCAACATAGCTTGGAGTGATTCAGTTTCCCAGATCATACACAAAGCAATTATTTCTACTTTTCCATGCTAGAACACACCCATACAAGAGTAGGTGATGCCGAGATCAATACGAACGGCAGGACCCTTCGACATGGTTGCTGGCATGTAGGCCTGGCCCCAACAATGAAGAAAGCCATAGGAATCCCGAAAGCTGCAGGAGAGTTCGATGAGTGCCATACTTATTTTTGCATAAATATAAATGCCATAGGGTATTTGATGAGTGTACTCAAGTTACTTCAAATTAAGCTTCAAGCGTTGGCTCACTGTCCTTCTAAATGGTTTCTAATTCCTTAAAAAAAAAAAAAACAATAAAAAACAAATAGCAAGGTGGTGACATGCCTTAGTCCCGCTCGCTGTGGAGACTAAGGTAGGAGGATTGCATGAATCCAGGATTTTGTGCCTGTCAATAGCCACTGCACTCCAGCCTGGACAACATAGTGAAACTCCAGTGCTAAAAAATTAAAACCAAAAATAAAACCAAAAACAGAACTCCAAATTTCCATTTCACCTCTCCTCTTCCAGAGGCATTTCAATACTGTAAGTTATCATAATTCTATTCTGAAAGCAGGAGGAGCAGTTTTAAGCTTTTCATAAAATGTGCTTCTAAGAGGCCAAATCAGTATTTTCTCAACTTGGAGATCTTGAAACCACATTACTTCCTACAGTTTTAAAAATAAGCTATGGAAGCTTATGTTAACTATTTCTTTGTATAATGTTATCATTCTCTATTCTCACCTGCAGGAAAAATTAAGAGGCTACAAACATGGTATTTAGTGACTTTCAATATCTCCCAGACTGATTTAGATGTTTCTTCCTCTATGTGTCCACAACACCTTTTGCGTATCTTGTTAAAGAAAAAAATTTTTCAATGATACTTGTTACAGCATGGTAAGGAAGACTTTATTTAGGACCATTGTTAATAGGTACAGGAACCATTGCAATGAGGTCTTGTAGTAAGGGAGAGAGATTGGGCTCCCCTCCAAATACAACATAAGCAAGTGGGAATTTATGGCTAAGGGGTGGAAAATTACGAAGAGGAAACATCAGAGGTAGGGATTCTGACTAAACCATCCTAACAGGATTCTTGCTGAAGACAGGCCAGGGTGATTGGATGTCACCTGGGGGTGGTAGAAGATGAGGAGCCTGATCAGATGTGAAGGATGATCAGATATCAAGGATAGGGATTTCTGGCTAAACTGACTTAGCAGGGTTCTCTTCCTAAAACTGGATTTTACAAGGAAGTGCACAAATGGGCCTAGGAAAAGGTTCAGAAGCTCACCTAAAGTTTGGCCAAGCAAAGATTTTTTGCTTGAAGTCAGTCTAGTTTTACAAAGAAAATTAATTCCAAAATCACATCAGTCCTAATAAGAGAAACTCAGCGTTTCAATTTCTTGTTATCAGATGCAAGTTACTTTCCTTCTAAAATTAGTGAAGTAGTTTGGTCCAGAAAAAGGAAAGCTATACGCAAAATGACTATTATAAAGCAATTCAAACAATCTACTCCATGACTTGTTATATTATTTGTAAAAAAGCCATGAGCTCATGCAGGTTATATAGAACTAAAGGTAAGTTAAACCATGTTAAATAATCCCTAGTTGTTTCATCACCTGACTCTCAGCTGAGATTGACAGTCTACGAAATTCCACCTGAAAAATAAATGGCTCAAATTAAACTCAGGGTGTGAAACAAAATAAATGACCCAACAAAGTCTGATTCCAAAAGAATGTTCTTAAACACGGCAATATTCCAGCTAATGTCCCAAGTAGTAGCTTACCTGCTTTATCTCACTTTTTAACTGCATGATCCCAGTTCGTTCTGTTTTGGTTGCTCCAACAGCACCAATCTCATGGATAGAAATAGCAGGACTGACATTTGAATCAGTGGGACGAACTATATAATACAAGAGATTAAAGAGAAAGAGAGAGGATAATAAGGTTCCATTTCTTCCCCATCATGTTAAAAAAACTTTGATATATATCCTTATTTTTAAATTAATTTAAAAACTATAACCTCGCTATTTGAAATGTGGTCCATGGACCAGCAGCATCAGTACCATCTAGGAACTTGTTAGTAGAATCTCAGGTCCCACTGCAGAGCTACTGAATCAGAATCTGCATTTTGGCAAGATCCTCAGCTTGAAACACACTGCTTTTTAACTTTGTTTTAGCACTCTAAGGTCTGACACCCATCCATCTGACTGTATATCTATTTACCCTAACCCTGAAAGTTGAGCGCAAGAGATGACCGCTTCTCATTTGCTTTGCTGCTTTAGGTATGCAATGCCAAATCAAAACAAAACCACAAATGCAGGTGGACTATTAATTTGTAAGTTTAAAATTGAAGGGATACATTAGATGTACCGTAAGTAGCTACACACATACACACATAATACAACACTGTAAGAGCTACTGAATTATTGCCAATTAGAATACAAGAAAGTTTCAGATGATATGGGTTGCTAGTTGTCCTAAAGTGGAGACATAGGATAATGTAAGGAAATCAATAAAACAGTTAAAAATGAAACATGGGCCAGGTGTGGTGGCTCACACCTGTAATCCCAGCACTTTGGGAGGCTGAGGCGGGTGCATCACAAGGTCAGGAGATTGAGACCATCCTGGCCAACATGGTGAAACCCCATCTTTACTAAAAATACAAAAATTGCTGGGTGTGGTGGTGTGTGCCTGTAATCCCAGCTACTTGGGAGGCTGAAGCATGAGAATAGCTTGAACTGGGAGGCGGAGGTTGCAGTGAGCTGAGATCGCGCCACTGCATTCCAGCTTGGCGACAGAGTGAGACTCCATAACAAAAAAAAAAAAAAAAAAAGAAAAGAAAAGAAAGATGATAGCAGTCAATCCAGTTAGTTGATATATCATTTAAGGAAAAATATAGTGGTTTCCAAATCTTGTTCCAGGAGACAGCTTGGTTTCTTTTTTTTTTTAATTTTTAATTTTAATTTTAATTTTTTTAAAGATGGGGTTTCTCCATGTTGGTCAGGCTGGTCTTGAACTCCCGCCCTCAGGTAATCTGCCCGCCTCAGCCTCCCAAAGTGCTGGGATTACAGGTGTGAGCCATCGCACCCAGCTGGTTTCTGTTTTATATATTTGAGTTTATTTATTTGGGGCAAAAGACTCCTGTGATGAAGGAAAACATTTTAAAACCAACGAGACACTTAAAACAGTATGAAATGAAAATGCAGTTATTCAATCTCACCGCTTCGTTCCACTCCAAACTCCTTGCCGCTGAGAATGTGATGCAGGAGATTCTTCATGGCTGAAGGACTGAGATTCATCAGGCCCTCCATGGCTTCCTCAGCTAGTCAGCAGAAATGTTAGAACAGAAGGAGTTCTAATTTGCCTGCCACCATGCCCTCTCTATATTTTCTCTATTTGATTTCTTGCTTAGAATTTCTGAGTCACTTGATTGGAAGAACAGAATTACAAAATAAATTGGTAGCACCCTACTGCTTAGGTATTCTTACTGCCATAGATTTTTAATTATTTAAGGACTGACTATCCAGTTTGTGGATTAGGCAGGTAATTGATTTCTTCTTCACATCCCCTCCACACCATTAGGGTACTTAGTAAAATCTTTATTTGAAGGTGGGAAGAATGAAAGAAGAACCATGGAAATGGAGGCCATTCAGAGAAAAGCAATGAATGTATATATGCTGATAGACTGAAATAATTAAAACTTCTCAGTCTGGAAATAATAGAGACTTAGAATAGATCTGAATCCATAAAATTATGAATATAAGAGGAAAACTTGAACTTGTTAATCAACATCATACATTATTAAAAGTTTACTACATGCAGGTCATCATTTTAAGTAACATTAGTACAAGCAGGTATGATGACATGATACCTAACCTTGAGAATCTGACTATCTCTTTGGGAGTGATGGAACATGTAAACAAGATAAACAACAATAAAGCATTGCATATACTATGTGCCAAATGAGAGGTACAGACAGAAAGTGCCTTTGAAATCAATGGAGACATCAGTTTCCAAGGACCGAGACTGACAAAATTAGTGGGAAGTACTGTGGGAGTAGAAGATAAAGGCCAGACTGTTGAGGGTATTAAATATCAGAACCAGGGAGCTTGACTTTATCCTATAAGGAGTAAAGAGCCATGGTTTTCATGAATCCATAGGAAAACAAGAAATATAACAGGCAATTAAGGAAAAGTGAACATTCAGGGGCTTATCCCTTACTGAGGTTTATTATTGAGCAATCACACCCTCTTGTAAAACATCCCTTGATACCACCACTACAGAATACTATATAATGTTTATCTATAACAATGTACTGAACTGGAAACCATTTGCAATCAGGTAGACTCGGACTCAAATTCCACTATTTACTAGCTATGTTACTTTGGGGAAGTTAGTCAACCTTCTTGAGTTTCAGTTTCTTTATTGGTAAAAGTGACACAATAATACCTTCCTCTCCAGAGGATTCTTGTAAGGATTAAATGACACAATTTATGTAAATATAAAGCAAAAAGCACAGTATTTGGCATATGGTAGGTGTAAAATAATTGTTAGCTCTCTTCCAGCAAAGAGTTATTTAAATATAAATTATCTCATGTGTTTGAGTTAGGTTTGACTCAAACTGATAAATTTAGCTACTTGTTAACAGCTCGATTAAAAGTCTTTTGGGAGAAATATAACAGACAGAATGGCTAAAATTGAGTCTTGCAATTTTGATTTTATTTTTCTGTGCCATCACTATCTGTATTATTTTGCCATTCTTGTTGAAATCAAACAAATACTAATGGAATAAGGCATCATGCCATAGGGGTCTATTTTTCTCCTTCATACTTTATACTATTCTGCCTTACAGCTTTTATAGACCCCAATTATTCTTCTAACTAAAACTTTTATCTTGCCAAATATACCTATAGTTAATTTCAAAGAGTCTTGTCAGATAGATGTTAACAAAAACATCATTTTCCTTTATTGAATCATGATGGTGACTAGACAGAATACTGACACCATGATCTACTGATGCAGTGACTCATTCTTGGTATACAGACGCTCCACTGCCTAAATCTGAACCCAACCCAGTCTGTTACACTCAAGCACTCTACAGAG